AAATAACAGGTGGACCAGAAAGGTTCAATAGATAGATGATGCTTTGGAGAAAGTCTCTTTTCGAACGGGATCTGTCTGAAGATAGTAATTTGCTATGATTCTCCAAAGGATTTTCAATTAAAAAAAACTTGTTCCTAAAGTGTTAAAATATGTTTAAAAAAGGACTATCGTTTTAATTTACTAAATCATGTGATCCATCATAAAAATTTGATAAAAAATCAATGTTGCACTCTTGGGTAAGGAAAATTTATAACTTTCATTTCTTTTTATAAAGAAATAGCGTTACTATATTCTCACTATGAAAAAAATATTACTTGAAATAATTAGTATATGATTATAAAATAATAATATACATTTTATTCAAAAAAGATTACATTATTTAATAGTTATAACATTTTAAAACAAGGTTGTTCTTTTAATAACCTTAACAAATTCAATTTTAAATCATTTCAGGGGGTCATTTTCAATTTAAAAATTTTCCTTAAAAATTGAATGATTAAAATTCAGAAAGGATTTCGAAAATTCAATATTTTAACAAAATCGGTTAAATATTTACTGAAATTTTCCTTTATCAAGAACTATTCGATCGATTTTATGAACGAAGTATAAATTTCTTTTTAATTCTCTGGAGTTTGAAACTGTGTTTTTATATTTTTTTTCTGATATTTGAAAATAATGACCTTAACAAATTCAATTTTAAATAGGAGCTACTTAAAAATTTATCAGGGGCTCATTTTCAATTTCAAAAAATACGTATTAAAAGGAGTGATTAAAATTCAGAATGGATTTCTAAATTTTATTAAAATCGGTAAAATATTTAATTAAATTTTCCTTTCCCAAGAATGATTCGACCGATTTCGTGTACGAAGTATAAATCTCTTTTTAATTCTCTGGAGAATTGCAGTTGTGTTTTTAAATTTTTTTACTGATATTTGAAAATAATATCCTTAACAAATTCAATTTTAAATAGGCGCTACTTAAAAATTCTTCAGGGGCTCATTTTCAATTTTAAAATATACGTAAAAAAGGAGTGATTAAAATCCAGAAAGGATTTCTAAAATTCTAAATTTGAACAAAATCGGTCAAATATTTATTGAAATTTTCCTTTCGCAAGAATTATTCGACCAATTTTCTGTACGAAGTGTAAATTTCTTTTTAATTTTCTGGAGATTGCAATTGTATTTTTATATTTTTTACTGATATTTGAAAATAATTACCTTAACAATTTTAAATTGGAGCTACTTAAAAATTCTTCAAGACCTCAATTTCAATTTTAAAATATGCTTAAAAAAGGAGTGATTAAAATTCAGAAAGTCATTTCCAAAATTCTAAATTATAACATAATCGGTCAAATACTTACTGAAAATTTTCTTTCTCAAGAACTATTCGACCGATTTTGTGTACGAAGAATGAATCTCTTTTTAATTTTCTGGAGATTGCAGCTGTGTTTTTATATTTTTTTTACTGACAATTGAAAATAAAATGCCTCAGGTTCTATCAAATATATTAGTTTTTATGAAGTGATATTTTAAAATAGTTCTATTTTTGTCAGTTATTTTGTCATTCTCTATTGCAAAAATGTCTCGCCAATGGACATAAAAGCATCTAAATTTCATCTCCAGTCGATATCGGATCGATCTTCAATGCCGGAAAGTAACTTCTATTACTTATTGCTTTGCATCGCCGGGATTTAAAATTCTATTCTGAATCTAAATTGATAGAAAACGCTTCACAAAAGTAGTTTTAAAAAGAAAAATAACAGGTGAACCGGAAAGGCTCAAGAGATAGATGATGTTTTTGGAAAATCACTTTGCGAACGCTATCTGTTTGCAGATAGCAATTTACTTCGATTCTCCAAAGGATTTGTACTTTAAAAGAATGTAGTTTTTAAAGTTGAAACATTTTTACAAAGAGTGCGAATGTTTGTGTTTACTTTACGAAACTTCATGTTTAAAAAGTAGTAGAAGTTTGTAGAAGTTTTGTTATGCATTTTGCGATTGAAAATTCTAATTCAGTTTAATATATTTTAATAATATATGATTCAAGGAACACATATTATTATTTAACAATTTTAAATATTTTAGACAAGTAGTTAAAACAACTTTTTTATGTAGGGGAGAGTGGGGTCAATTGTAACGTTTTTTATTTAACTATTTTTAACTAACAAAAAACTCAATATATTATTAGTATTAATTGACAGACGAGTAAAGTAGACTATCCTCTACTAGAAAAAATAAATAAATACCTTATTTTAAATGTTATTATATTAGTTATTAACAATTTTTGACAGTCGTGCACTTGTTACAATTGTCCCCACTTACGGGGTCAATTGTAACAGTTCATAAATTCAACTAAAACATGGTTAATTATACATATTATCATAGTTGTGATATATTATTTTATTGATCGAAATAGTAGTGATATTTTAGGAGTAAAAATAATAATGAGCAGAGACCTAAAGGGTTAAACTTTTAACTTTANATCTAATGTTATAGCTGTTTCATAAGAAAAGTATAGATTTATCTTTAACTTTGAAATAGAGGTAGAAAAGAAGTTTTAAACAATTCGTCTAACACTACATAAATTACACCGGGGAATAAATTTATGCAAATGCTTGATATTGTTTAACTTGTGTGATTTTAAATCTGAAATACGTTTTGATTCCTCCAGACTGTAGATTATTTTTAAAATCAGATTTTAGTCTATTTTTTGTCGAAATGTACAATTTTAAAAGCGTTATATTTAACAAGGGATTGCGTTTAAAAGTTGTGACAAACTTCTTTAGAAGTTAGAGCACATTGTTAAAATTAAAGCTGCATAGAAACTAATACTCAGAAACGTCATCATACGTTGTTAGGGGCGCAGAAACAGTTTATAATATTGAAGAGCATTTAATGGCGCATGACGATATTTCTGGGAATGGGTTTCAATACAATTTTAATCCTGATAACGCGCTTTAACTCTCATAGCAGTTTATAACAACATTTATGCGATTTCCTGCTATATTTAACGTTTTTTTTTACTTGCATTTTCAGATAAAGAAATAAAAAATGTTATTAAAAAACTGGAGTTTGGAGAGTGAAACCGATTTGAAATTAGGGATATTAAAGTATCTAAGATCTGCTAAAAAGCCTCATGCAAGAAAAAAAATCCCAAGTGCTATTTACATGACATTTTTTTAAGAAATAAGATATTTAAAAATGACAATATTAGCTATGTATTTCATGATTATTCAACACGTAAAATTATTCATAAGAATAATATTTATAAAATTTTTATGTTAGTAGCAGATTTCGTCCCCTGCTTGCTTCGCTCCCCAATACAAATGATTGCTTGTGGCAAATTAAAATTTTCACTAAAAAAATTTTTTTTTTCTCCATATTCCCATGCCTTTAGTCTCCTATTTTTTAAAATTTTAAATTCAACTTAGAAAGCAGTTTTCCACAATCCCCAAGTCCTTGGTGCCCATGGAAGTTTTCAAACGTTAAAAATTTAGAAACTTTTTGACTTAAAAAAATTTGTCAACTTAATCTTTATATTTCTCTTCTATTTTAAAACTTTTGTACTTAGCAATGATCATGTTACAAGAAGATAGTGGAACTCCCACCAGATCGCTTCAACTTTTAAAATGTAGACAGCCATTTCACTGACTACTTTTTAAGCAATTCAATTCATAATTTCTACGCTTCCGAGATGCCAGAGACCTTAGTAACCCTTCCCTATCATCAAATTTTTTCATGCTGTGGTAGTATTAATTAATAAAAACGTTTGTTACTGTTTTCGTAGGCCATTACGTCGAAGGCTGCGATTGTTCTTGGTTTCCAGTGGCACTATCTATGGCCAAGAATTTAACTTCTGCCACTTCTACTCAGGGTGGACCCATCCATACATTCATTCATTCATCCACAAATAGTAATTTTGACCTGGACCAGAGAACAATCAATCTCCAATTCAGTATCCACAGAGGTATAATCTGTTATGAGAACATGGCGGACTTTGTGACTCGATTGATTTAATGTGCACCGGTCACCATTTACTACCCGGGGAGAATTCAGCCGGCTGTATTTGGACTTCCATTCTCACGAACGAGTAAATGATTAGGTTGTTGCAATAATATATAAGTTATGATCTTATATATCAGGGATTTCTAACTTACATGAGACTGGGGGCCTCAATTAAAAGCACAAATCAAATGGTGGGCCACAACTTTATCAAAATTTAATGTATGATTCTTTTATGTTTGAAGGAACATTAAATATTACTGTCAGCTTTTTACTAAGTTGTACAAAGTAAAAGTATTGAATTACAAATTAAAATAAGAAGTAGATTTTAAAAAATACTTAATTGTTACTAATAATATTTTTAAAAATATGAATTAAATAATAAAAATTCAGGCTACAGTAACTTTAATGTGCACCTATGTATTAAACTATTAATGTACAACAGATATCTAGTTGTTAAGATATAAAACTTTAAAAGGGTTGGCATTAAAACTTACATAGTACCACACAAAATGTTTAATGAGAAAATTGAGGTTTGTCTGCTGCAACCACCAGAGAATAGACATTTACATTTTAAATTTAAAATTTACAAATGTGTGTGTAAATATTTTCGTAAAAAATGAGTGGTTTCAAGAAGTTAAATCGGAGAATTTCATCGAGAAAATTTTTGATGCACACATGCTGAAGACAAAAAAAAAAGAAAAAAAAGAAAATGCACAAATACAAAAAAAAATTAAATTAAATAAATAAAAAAGAGCAACATGCACGATTATTTTTGTATTTGAATAAATATTTTCCAGGATGCAAAACTCGAGAAATAAATTATTTTGCACCGTTGGTATGTTAAATTTCACAGAAATGAAGAAATTAGGTTTCTATGAACGAAAATTGTCCACAAAAAAATGACTACTAATATATTTTAGTTCGTGAGCGACAAAAAAGGCTTCGCGGGCCGGATGCGGCCCACGGGCCGCCAGTTAGAAACCCCTGTTATATATTATGTCGTATAATATCTGATGCATGTATCGGATGCTTTTTTAAAGTTTAGCGCCGTACTTTAGAGTGTACAAGGCAACCAAAATCGCCTAATTTTGTAGAATTTCGTTGAATAATCTACTTTTTCAAAGATAAATTTAAAAAAATTACTTCCTCATGATACTTTTACTGATGTTGATATTTTTATGGAAAAAAAATATCGTCTTGAAATGAAAGCATTTATTTACAATAATTAATGTTAATTTAATGTTATTGAAAAACATGTTAATAACTTGTTTATCAAAAAACATGTTAATGACATGTTTGTCAAAAAACATGTTAATAACATGTTTATTAAGAAGCATGCTTATTGAAAAACATATTTATTATAAACATTTTAATTTAAAAACATGATATTAACATGTTCTTTAATAACACGTTAATATGTTTATGAAAATACAATAATATTTTCAATAACATGGAGGAATATAAAATATTAAATAATTTTTATTTAAAATAACTACTATTTATAGAAACCAATATCTCACTTTTGTCCATACGGCATCCATTTGGCTCTAAAAAGAACTGTTTATTTTTTCAAATTACAAATATTTTGCTATTTATTAGCATCTTATTAAGAGTAACGATGTTGCATAATTTTTCTAAGCTATTGAGCGAACTTGGTCTCAAGACGAATCTTTCGCAAAATCGTTCAGCTTTTAAAATAATTAGTTCGTAAATTGTTCATTCAAATAATAAAATCGCAGTAAATTAACATTCATTTAGTGATGTCTTTCCACTCATGACGTTATTCTTTTTTTTAACTTATGGATTTTTGTAAAATCTCTTTCTTTTGTTCATGTCGATTTTGACAATTCATTGCGCACTTTTCTGACATTGGCTTTAGGTACGCATGCGCAGTCGCTTTAAATTTTATTTATGGGTTTAAAGAAATGATTTAAATTGCTAAATCTCTTTAATTAGGGAAATAAAAAAAGTTATTGTTTTCCTCTCAGACGAGGTGACACGGTAAGACCGTCTACATTGTCACTGGTACGCATGCGCAGTTGCTTTAAATCTTATTTATGGATTTAAAGAAATGACTTGTAAAATTGCTAAATCTCATTAATGAGGAAGATTAAAAAAAGTTATTGTTTTCCTTTTAGACGAGGTGACGTGGTATAGCCGTCAATATTGTCACTGGTACGCATGTGCAGTTGATTTAAATCTTATTTATAGGTTTTACGAAGTGATTTGTGAAATTGCTAAATCTCTTTAATGAGGGAGATAAAAAAAAGTTATTGTTTTCCTTTTAGACGAGGTGACACGGTACGGCCGTCAACATTGCCACTGGACGTTGCTGTCACACTTGAAGGGGCCACAGAAGAGCAAAACAATTCGAACTTTCATACACTCCGTGCACCAGTCAAGTTTGATACTGATGGTGTGACTCCTCACTGGCCACCCCCGGGAAGACAAGAAGAAACCAACAACCTAGTCATTGATGATGGTCCACATATTCAAATTCACAGAATTACTTGCAATGTAAGATTTAGTCTGTTTATTTACTTACTTCTCAGGTAGACAGTTTACCTACGAAGAGGGTTCTAACCAACACATTTTATCTTAACATCTTTTACCATCACACTGGAATCACTTTTACCATTACACTGGGAAATTTTTTTTCGAATTTTATAAGAAAAAAAAAACATATTTTTACAGAAAAAAATTGTTGCAGATAAAATTTTTTTTTTCTATTTTTATCGTTACCCACGTACTGCAAAAAAAAATTCTCGTTTTTTACAGACTTTCTTCGCATATTTGACAGTTTAAAACTGTTTTTCACACAACAGTTTTTTGCTTTTTTTCACCCTAATTATAAATGGATTAAAACTGTCATTTTAAATTCAAGTTTTTGCCATGCAGTTTTTGCAGATCGTACGATAAATAATTTTTTTTCAAATCATTTTATGATTATTTTCTACTTTTAGGAAAAATTGCCACAGGTTTGCCATAAAAAATAACATAGGATATCCACAATGGTAAAAGTTTGGCGTACACTTTTGTCACAAAAAAAGTATGGCAATTTTTTACCATACGCGTATGGTAAATATTTGCCATACGTGAATGGGAAAAGTGTATAATGATATTTAACCATAGGTTAAACCACATTAGGGTATCCAATTATAATTTTTTATGAAACAAATTTTTGTCATAAATTTATTTTGTGCTATAGTCTTTAAGTACATTTTTCCATTGGCTATGGCAACATTTCTTTATAGCGCTATGGAAGTTTATCCTACAACTATATAAAGCGAAATTTATACATACGTAATAATAAACAGGGGGTGTGATGATACAATAGGGATTACACACATTTCCTAGCTTTTAAAATTTATTTAATTTCTTAAGCTCATTTCTTTGATTATTCTTAATCAAATTTTAATGAAATTAAACCAATCATTTAATTTTGATTGCATTTTATAATAAAGCGAATATAAAAAATTTTATTGTTTTATTAATAATCAATGCAACGGCTAACTTTTTATTTCAATACTAATCTAAGACTAATTAATTCACTGTCGCAAGTAAATCGAAAATAAAAATCTATTTATAACTCTTTATTCTTTGTTTCTTAAAACAAAAATGTTTTAATTACACGGTTATACTAATTCTCACAGTCTCTTTGGCGATTCGCTTTCGCCTAATTATGGCATTGTCTTGGCATTGTTTTTGGATATTTTGTCTTTCGATAAATCGCCAACCAGGGATCTCGTCCCATGCTCCTAACTGACTGTTGAGGACAATTTAATCACTTTTTAATTTGGCTTTTGAGTAAGCTGATCGATTTATCTCCCATGGCTTGCCCTCATTGATATTATTATACAAAATTCATTATTTAATGTATAAAGTGTCATTATGGATAATATATAATTTGTATCTCCAGCTCTGCAAATACTACTAAATCAAAGTTTTATTATAATTATGATCTAGTTTTCACCTTCAACTGTCATTTTTATTATGCTATTTTCATCACAATATTATGCTATTATGCTATTTTCAAAATTATGCTATTTTCATTAGTCAATAAAACCATACAACTCCAACCACGAATAATTTCGTCATTATAGGGGTAATTGAGGATATAATTATAAAGGTAATAACAGTGAGCTTTCGGGGCTTTGCACAAGAATGATTATGCTACAAAAATAGTTTTAATAAAAAAAAATTAAGGCGAACGATTAAGTTATTAAATATATGAGAAAAGAAAACAAGGAACCTTTTGTGGATAAGAATCCGAAATTTAAATCTCTACGTCGAAAATTAATTAGCAAACAATAAAGGTAATATGAGTAATGAAAACAAAATTGGAGTAGACTTACTGACTTTTTGTTGGTTTTCTATTGTTAATTAAACCAAAATAAATCACAACATAAAAAATTTTACACAATAACGTAGAAATGCAGAAAATCTAACATCAGCGAAGTTCACGCACCATTATTCTAGCTACGAGAGCTAATTTGGTTCGAGATTATCAAGTTGTTTATGAAAAATTTAAAAATTTTTTGTCGAAATTGGGATATTTTTTAATTTTAATAAATTTAAAAATTGATTTAGCTAGAAATTCAAAATAAATAACTAAATAAAAAATGATAGAGTATAAAAATTGAATAAATTAAAATGAAAAAAAAAACTCTTCTAAGTATGGCCGGGTAATGCTTTGTCGAGGTATCGGCGTCATGCACATACCTTGCCGGCAGTGCAAATTTTTGAAGTTGAAATGCTGGTTTTTGTTGAAATAATCGAAAATAATTTTTAAATAACTATAAGTCACTATGATGTGAATGAACTTCATTGAAAAGTGCTATTGTTTTTGATGGATTGATATAATTAACGCAAAAGTGATCAGGATCGTTGGAGTTGCATTAAAACACGCCTGTTTCCTTTTGTAACCATGTCCACTCCCCCATATGAATGAAGCACGCGTATAGTGTGTTTCTATTTGTTTGCCATATGCCTATGGTACTTCCCTTTAATCATACCATTAGACTATGGTGTCCCGCCGTATAATACCATACAAATTTCTTTGGTTACCATAGACTTTTGGTGTCTTTTCATATGAATGCCATACCAATTTCTATGGTAACCATAGGAGTATGGTGTTTTGCCATACGAATTTCTATATTTGCCATAGGCTTCAAGCATTTTGCTGTATAAATTTCAATGGTTGCCATATGTTACCACAGATTAGCATAGGCATGCCTATGGCAAAATTTCATAAAGGATATTTGCTCTTACTTTTCAGAAATTATTTTATGGTTTTGGTATAAAATTGTGGTAGGACTTCTTTGTCGAATTTATATTGCACCTTATTTTTATCTGTTTTTAAGCATAATTTTTCGATAAGTTAAATTTTCAGACACTTTTATAAAGAAGCCAATAAAAATTTATGCGATTTTACATTTAAACATGATTATAATGAATAGCACTTTTAAAATGAAGATAGTTTAAGATTTTTCTTAATAACCAGTCAGAAAACTCTCCTTACAATATGGTGAACTGGATTCAAATCCCAGCGCTGATTTGTCGTGCGAATTATGCTCTCGGCTAGAACTGACCACAGTGTTGCCATAATGATTTCAGAGATATTGTTTGTTGTTGAAATAACAGAGTTTTTTGTTGAAATAACTGAGTTTGTTTGTTAAAATAGCATTATTTACATAGTTAAAAAAAACAAGCGCCCGTTTTGAAATAACAGTATTTTGCTGTGAAATAAACGGCAGTACACTGGAACACTGCCTGACAGTCTTTTTTTCAGTAAATTTAACAGATTTTCTTTTACAGAGTAAAATTACAACATTATTTGGTCAGCAGCACGAACCAGTCAGCAGCACGAATGGCTAAGTTTGCAACTTAATTTCTCGTTACATTGGTTGGCTGGTTGTGAATAAATTATTTGGAAAGTTTTACCAGCATTGCAAAGATAGATTGGCTAGTCCACTACAATCCAGGGATGCGCTACGTTGGTTGGTTGAATATTGTTTGGTAGGAAATAATTCTAAGTTCCTCTTTGGTTTTGCTGGTTTTCAGACTTCTTGGGCAAATGAATGAGTTTTCCAGTTCACAATGGCTACCGGTCCATAGAAACTGTAGTCAAGAGTCAGTTGATGATGGAACTCCACGATACTGGTATCGATGATCTTCTTTTGTCATCTAGCATATTCTTTGATTATCAGATTCTTTGTCATCTAGCATAGTTTTCCAGTTAAGAAACTAGCTGGTCGAAAAGTGGTAAAATTTTAACTCACAATAGGTAAATTTTTGGCTGGATATAAATGCCGATAAATTTTGCTTGTAGCAGCAAGGGACGATTGTAAATTTTTTCTTTGCTATCTACTATAGCTTTCTAGTTAAAGGACCGACTAGTCAAGGAGTGGTTAAATTTTAATTGAATATGCTTTTTTTGGAGTGCAATTTTTGCTTATAGGGGGCAGAAAATAAATGAAACGTGTATTGTCAATAATCACAGTGCTGATTTAAGAGCAGTAGCTAATAGGAAAGTGGTAGGAATATCTCTTGTCCAATTTTACCACCAAATATATACTAATGACGTAATAAAAATCCTTTCTAATTTAAATGCGCGTCGTTTATTAAGCTAATCACGTGTACCCAAATGTTCCTTTTAAGAAGATAGAAACATTCTTTTATTTAGCAGGACTTTCCCTCGACGTGGCAACCAGCAAGGCGTATCATCACATTCATGGGTGTTGTCTCCTTCCTCTGCATCGCTCTGGTCGTCGTCATTGTCATGGTAGCCGTCGCTCTATCAGGATCAGTCCATCCACGTTCCGTCAACTTGAAAACAACAGAACTCATTTATCTCATCCCTCAACCACGTAGATTCATTAACAGAACTCCCACAATAGTGGTCCACAGACAGAATCCGAAAATATGGCAGAGGCACGTGGACGATTTATCTTCTTTAATGCAAGCCTATAAGGAACAACAGGGGTCCCTTGGCACACACAATTGCGATCTGCATTTGGCGCCCTCCCCAATAGGTAACGTTCATTTATTCTTAACTGTTCTGTTTCCTCCATTGTCAAGGTTTTCTTAAGGAAGGTTCTAAAAAATCATTAGCTAATAGAATTTATTTTCCTATTACAAGTTTGACTTAAACTGCTTTCTCGATCTGTCTTAATTTAACCTTTGATCTACGACATTATGTATCAAGCTTCTGGTCGATAATGTGATAATTGGGAAGAAATTTACAAATATTTTTTTCCACGTAAATTTCACATAAGCTAAACTGTTCTCTTTCTAGACATATCATTGGCAGTACGTATCAAGTATCCGGTCGATAATTAGATTATTGGGAAGAAATTTATAAATATTTTTTTTCCACATAAATTTCACATGAACTACACTGTTCTCTTTCTAGGCATATCATCGGCAGTACGTATCAAGTATCTGGTCGATAATTAGATTATTGGGAAGAAATTTAGAAATAATTTTTTTTCTCACATAAATTTGTCGCGAAATAAATTTTAGATATACTTTTGTTTACATTTTATCATCGGTAGTATGTATTAAACTTTCAGTCACTAATACGATGATTATAGGAACACATTTAAAAATATTTTTCCTCATAAATTTGATATAAACTGAGTTTTAGAAATATTTTCTTTTTAGTTTCATCATCCATAGTACCTATTTCTGTAATTTTTCAAAAACTTTTTTAAATATAAATTTTTTAAATATATTTTTTAAATATAGTTTATATATACTTTTTTTATGTATAGAATAGTTTTTTTTAAAAAATGTTTGTTTGGTATGATACGATGATTTTTGAAGAAAAAAAAACCTAAAACAAAATCCTAATTTAATAAATAAATGTTTTTTAATAAATATTTGCTCTCCTTAAATTACTATAAATGATATAAAGATTATATGTATACTAAAATTCAGGTTTATTGAAAAAACAATTTCAAAAAAAGTGTTGAAGTTTGAAGTTTTGTGAAAAAGTAAAAAAAAACGAACTGGTAGTAGTGGATCAGAAATTTTTCGAAAAAAAGCATAAAAATATTTTGAATACAACTAAGCTTGAATAATCTGCCCACTTAAAATAGATTATTAATGTTTACTGACATTTGTAGTTTTTAATTCCAGGCGTTTCGTCTTGCAATTTCCCTCTGGACAGGATTAGTGAGAACTGTACCAAAAAGAACAACTTTGGATACCCAATTGGAAACCCGTGTGTGGCTCTAGTTTTCAATGCTTTATCAGGATGGGTACCCGTTCCATACAACGCATCCAATCCATCAGAAATTCCAGAAGAAGTTAGGCCTAACTTCAAGAAAGACATTGTTCCAATCACCTGCAACACTTCCGTAGTGGCTTCTCAAGGAGGTTTAAAAGGAGATACGAATATGTTTAATGTGCATTATTCACCATTTCCAGGTTTTCCATACAAATTTCTGAACCTAAGGGGAAGAGGAACTGGTTTACCCCCTTTAGTTATAGTTCAGTTCCTTGGACCCCAGATAATGGCAGATGTGGAGGTGAACTGTCAGATGTGGGCTAAAAATTTGTCGCCTAACTCTAGCGAAGAAATAGGCCACGTTAGGTTTAGCCTTTTCATTGTATGAAACCACTTTATTTTAATATGAAATGTCATAAGAAAATGCTTTAATATGATTTGGTGTGAGGTTCGGCTGGAACTGAAAAATGACTTGAATAGTATTTTGAATAGAATTTTTTTTCATATGTAAAAGATATATGTATAATGGTCAACAAATTAATATTTGAGCGAGGGAAAAAAGGAAATAGAATTTTATCATAAAAAATCTGAAAAATCTCTTAAAAAAAAGGCAAGGAGAAAAACATCAAAACCTTTTTGATTGCCAAAATATATAGTGCGATGGTGAAAGATAATTATTCGAAACATATTTAAATTTTATTTGATAATCAAAAAAATCAATTTGTTGTAATTTTCAACAACTCTGTGTTCCTCGTTTAAATATTAATTTGCGATTCCAAATGTCCATATGTGTATACCACCCTAATATATATTAAGGGCGGTGTTTACCGAACACTATGTACAGATGCACTATGCATTCAGATAATTTGCTCAAAAAAAGGACCATCGGAATAACTTTTGATCTAATGATTGGATCTTCACGTTCTGGAACTCAATCTTAATGATTTGAGATGTTGACCTCAAATATTTTAATTAATTAGTGCTATGAAGCTATGAGCCATGCTTATTTGAGCTATGAAATCAAACGCAAAAAGCGCTTTCTCTAAATACATTTTTTTATATTGACGGATTTGGATTTTCGTTTGATTAAATATGCTTGGCAGTTTGGTAAGTATGGTCCAAATTGTTTGGTCAGGAGAGCGCTCTGAAGTTTGGACTCCTTAATATAAATTTTATTTTTCGCTTATTCCACCATATCTCGAAAATTTTTCGTCAAATCGAATAAATTTTGCATACAATGAGAGAATTCGTTTATCTAAAGATGCAAAAAATAACTTTTATTAAATATTGCAAAATATAATTATAAGTAAAAATTTTTTTTATTAATTCATTCAATAATTGTCGAAACAATTTTGAACTGTAAGGTATATAATCTTTTATGTCATTTTAAAGAATGTAATTGTACATAGTAAAGTATTGAATTTGAGCAAAATCGATCGAATAGTTCCTGAGAAATCAAATTTTAAAAAAGTCATATATTTAAAACATGATTTATCAGGAATTGTTCGACTAATTTCGCTCAAATTTTGCCATGCAAAATTACGCTCTTTAAAAGAGTAAAAAAACTATGTACTTTTGTTGTGTATTAATTACAAATTTCTTTCGACTATTATTAAATAAAATAATAAAAAATAATAAATATTTACTGAAAGCTCTTTTTTAACGAAATTATCTCTGCAAAAACGAATTTTATAATTGTGTGGAAAATTTTTTTCAATTCGCTAAAAAGTTGTAGACATGCAAAAAGTAAAACAAACATTAAGGGCTCCAAATTTTGGACTACTTTCTTGACCTGAATGCTTAGCTTGCAGCTGCTCTTTTATTTTTAGGATCAGAAATTTGAATGCGACGAAAAAAAGGTATGTAATTAGAAAAAAGTAGTTTCTGTGTCTGATTTGAGAGTAACCCCTCTAACCCGTTAAGATTGAGTCCTTGAACACGAAGGTCCGATCATTAAGATCAAACGTCATTTTGTGTGGTCCAATTCTCATTTTCTTTCGCACTGCACTTTAAACATACGATTCAAATTTGAGTTTTGAAAATGTAAATTGCATTCTAAATACAAGATTTTTGTGCGCTAATTGAGCTTATTATATCAATTAGTACGCAAAATTTCATTAGTTTGAAATTTTTATGTGCAAATTGACGAAATGATGAGATTCTTGTGTGTTAAGATGCAATTTTCATGTTTTTAAGAGGTGAACTTAGGCTATGCTCTCGAAGTATTGTTGAAAAGCAATTTGAATTAAGAAATAAGGTACTAAAAGTACTTTTTCAGAATAAACATTATTCTTTATGTGGATTTATATTTTTAAGCTGATATGGGGGATAACTATTTTTAAAACTTTTTTCGTGTTGATTCAGGGAGATAACTTTTCTACAACAGGTTTTTAAATTAAAATTATATTTTCTCTTGTTAATTCTAAAATTATCCTCCAATTATTGTATCAAACGTAGTTTAAGGTGTAGTATATATATATTTTCTTTTGATATGGCCAGCTGAACAGTGTTTGATCGAGGATAATGTTAAAATTTATGTTAACAAATAGCTGTTGTGAGCGTATTTTGTCACATAAGAACTGTATACAAAGTTAACTATCCACTGATAACTTATTATTTATTAGGGCCGAAGCAAAAACAACTAAAACTCATCACTTTCTTATCTCAGAAATCAATTTCAACCAAACTCTAGTTTTATTCAGATATTTTTGTAGTAAAAATTAATTAAAACAATTATTACTTTTAATAAAAAGATAACCATAAATCAGCATTAGTTGAAATTTTATAAGGATTAATAAAAATGTTTAATTATTTAATGAATCTCAATTTGCTATGCACTGTTAGAAGTTTCATTCTAAAGTTAAGGCAAAAAAAAACATGAATACAAAACTGCATGGTTTTTCAACCATTTACAACTAGCATGGTTTCAAAACTGTAAAAAATTTTTTTAACTGGATATTGGAGATAGTTTAGTAGCCTTATGGTGCTGCCATCTGTACGTGAAGGAGAGCATCGTATTTTAATCGCCCAGTGACACAAATTGGGGAGAGCAGGATACTGGAAATTCTCCATGTGTTAAAGGGAATAATGTGGCGGAAATATTGTGGTATCAACACTGGGATTCGAACCCTTGTTCTCTCGGTCACGGGACTGACAGAATGACCCTCTCGGCTGTAATAGGTGGGCCTAGTTAGTGTGATGAAATTTTGATTGTTTAACCATATTGGGGGAAAGTAGTTAATAAACGGGTTTTGCCGCTGTTAATAGTTTGAATGCAATCTTATATGTAATTATTTGACCGTTTTGTTTGAATATGGTAAAATAACATTAAAAAAAATTTTTATATAACTATTTTTCCGAGAAATTTCTGACAGTGTGAGAGAGGTAAGTGTTATTAATTTACAGTTTTAAATTATCATGATGATTCATTTTCATTCAAACCTAAATACAAGGAAAGCATTTTTGATGTCAGTTTACTGATTAACAATAAATCCTTACTAGTAAATAAACCTCAGTGTTTTGAGTTCGAAAAATATGACTGATTTATTGCTAAGTCATCATGATTATTCTTTTTTCATGAAAATAAAATTTTTTGTGACAGAATTGTTCACATGTTATTTTCATAAAAATAACATTTTCATGAAAATAACATGTGAACATTTTTTGAAATTAGTCTTTTGATTAGTAATAAATATTCATTATTTAATAAATCCCTCATTGTTTTAGATTAGAAAAATATGATGGAATGAAAAATTATGATTAGAAATGTATAAATAGGCATGGTGGGTTAGATACTGAACAATCATTGTGTAGGACCGGGGTTCTTTTCCAGGTTGCGCCTTGATTCCCACCCATTTTAAAAGTGAATAGGTTGTCAAAGTATAGGTTACCTAGGAACAATGCCAATCTTGATTTTAATCTTCATGGTCTAGATCAGGGGCTTCCACATTACATGAGGCCGGGGGCCGCAATTAAAAACACAAATCAATCGGCGGACCGCAACTTTATCAAAATTTAATGTAGGACTCTTTTACGTTTGAAGGAACATTAAATATTACTGTCAGATTTTCAGCAAGGTGTACAAAACAAAAGTATTGAATTACAACAATATACAAATTAAAATAAGAAGTAGATTTTTAAAAATATTTGATTGCGTATTAAAAAATTTGGGCTACAAGAGCTTTAATATGCACCTATGTGTTAAACAATTAATGTGCAACAGATATCTAATTGTTAAAATATAGAACTTTAAAAAGGTTGGTATAAAAATTTATATAGTGGCACACAAAATGTTTAATGAGTAAATTGAGGTTTATCTGCTGCAACCACCAGAGTATAGATACTTACATTTAAAATTTAAAATTTTGCAAATGTGTGTGTAAATATTTTCGTTCAAAAGGAGTGGTTTCAAAAGGTTAAATTGGAGAATTTTCTGATACACACGTGCTAAATTATATTCACAAAATACAAAAAAAAAAAAATGAAATAAAATAAGAGCTACATACACGATTTTTTTTGTATTTGAATAAATATTTTCTTGGATGCAAAACCTGAGAAATAATTTTTTTTGGTATGTTGGTATGTTAAATTTCACAGAAGCGAAGAAATTAGGTTTTTATTAACGAGAAAAATATTTTAAGCCCATACAGATTTTTTACGAAAATTGCCCGCGAAAAAGTGACAACTAATATATTTTAGTTCGCGGGCCACATATAAAAGCTTCGAGGGCCGGATGCGGCCCCCGGGCCGCCAGTTGGAAACCACTGGTCTAGATCACAATCCTGGTCTCGATCATTAGTCTCGAAATAATTGAGCCTGAACTATCTTGATCCTGACTTTTGCTAGAGTCTCTGCGTTTGCAGTACTTCAAAGGTTAAATTGGCAAAACTTTTGAATTAATAATATAACAATATATAACGTTATATAACAAAAAAAGTTTTACCTTTACAAAAACTATTGTCATTCTTTATAATATTTTATATTTTATTTTGAGACTGAAAAACATATTGGTATTTGAAAGGAGAGTATTTTGTACAAATGCATGACGTATTTTAAATGCAAAATTTTATGCATTTAATGTAATAGGGTGCTTTAAGAGATCGTGATTAAACATTATAATAAATCTTTTGAAACTTTCTTTGATGCATTTTTAAGATTTAATCTTGATTTCAGTCTGTTTATAGTTATATGCCCTATTTTAATACTAAATCTTTTTATGCATGTAATTAAAAAAATGCAGAGGATTTTTTCCAATTATTTTTAACAAAAAATCATGTTTTCACATTGAAAAACTTTTAAATATTTGTGACATCTAATTTTTACACTTTGTGTGAGAATCAATTCGCACTATTTTTGAAACATCACTAAATTGTTGTTTGTAATTGATGAATGAAGAATCATCATCCACTACTTTGTGCCATAATGTAACAAATGTCATTAATAAAATGTTATTTATCCATGAAATTTGTCCGTTTTGAAAAATAAAAAATATATTGTCTAGTTTTGGAGCACACACACACTGTTAGAATTTTCATTCTAAAATTATGGTAAAATAAGCGATCCAATGAGTTTATTTTATCATACTTCCACGAAGAAAGCAGACTAAGAAGTTATAAGAATAGCAATTATCAATTCTTTGTTCTATGAGAATTCCATAATTTACACTTTTCTATGTCACTAGGTAAACCGACTGAAATGTTGTAAATACAGAGATTATCAGTTCCTTAATTATAGTAAATCCATTTGACCACTTGGTGTCCACTGATTGGCTGGGTGGCTCAGTTGGTTTGTCGTCGGCCTTCTGAGCCCAAGTCTGCGGGTTCGATCCCCGGCCCAGACACCGGATTTTCGGGATGCAGAAAATCCTCAGCGGCCATGTCGTATGATTATGCGGCATGTAAAAGATTCCAGGAGTGCCTTATTGGCTCTTTGCATTTCCGGCAAAATTAATTTCCTAGTTCACTTTAGCATCCAAATAGAGTCTCGGTGCTGCCATCTAGTGGGGCAGAAACTAGACGTCCAAATTAACCTGACCAACGGTATCTCATCCATTGTGGTGGTCCTGAAAGAGTGGATACCACCTCTGGAGAACGCACTAGGTCTGCTCATCGGCAAGACCGATTGTGCAGTTCATTGGAAATAAAATAAAAATAAAAAAACTTTGTGTCCAAAAACTATCAGATTTTTGATCTGCAAGATCAGCCTATTGCCGTTTTAAGTGTTTAAATCACTGTGTGAAAA